CCCTGAGGAGAGCCAGTGCTGAGGGTTATGGTGGAGGAGGAGAAGTTGTGGATCCTCACAGACTGAGGTCTGTTTGTTAAGAAGTCTAGAACGCAGTTGCATAATTAGGGGCTTAGTCCTAGTGTGAGTAGTTTGTCCATCAGGGTCTGGGGGATCATGGTGTTGAAGGCAGCTGTGACGTCCACAAAGAGGATTCAAGGATTCAACATGCTTTATTGTCATTCGCATCACATGCGGTACATGAAGTGGAATAAAATTGTGTACACAGGGTCCCAGTTACAGCCAACAAAGTATAAAATGTAAATGAAAAACATTAATAAGATCTACGATACGAACTAAGAAAAACGTTAACTAAAAATACACTAAGCACTGGTAGTACAAAAACAATACACCGAACAGCAGCAGCATGAACATGAGTCTATGTGAACAGATGGATATGAATGAACACAGCAACATAAAACAAATCAGCAACATGATGTGGTTTATCACAGAGATTATCCTGGTTAGAGATTCATGAGTCTAACAGCCTCAGGGTAGAAGCTGTTCCTCAGTCTAGTGGTTCTACACTTAATGCTCCTTAACCACCTCCTGCAAAAAGTGTGTGTGCTGGGTGAGTGCGGTCCTTCATGATGCAGGTGGCTCTCTTCCTGCATCTGGAGGTGTAACGGTGTGTAACTGTGACGGTGGGGAGACTGACTCCAACATCTTCTGTGCAGCCTTCACCACTCTCTGCAAAGCTTTCCTTTCTGCAGCTGTGCAGCCTCCATGCCACACGTTGATGCTGGAGCACAGGATTCTCTCCACTGCACACCTGTAGAAGGAGGTGAGGACTGAGCTTCTCAGACCAGCTCGTCTCAGCCGCCTGAGGAAGTAGAGTCTCTGATGAGCTTTATTGATCAGGCTGGTGGTGTTGTTGCTCCAGCTGAGGTTGTCATCCATGTGTACACCCAAGTACTTGTAGCTGGAGACCACTTCCGCCACAGATCCTCCTATGTTTGTGTGTGTGTGTGTGTGTGTGTGGGGGGGGGGGGGGTTAGGTGTGTCAGCATGCCTCTCGATCCTCCCGGGCAGCAGAACCAATTGGATGTTGGGCAGAACTCCTCCCTGAGCCATGGCCACTCCTCTCAGCAGTTTGTTGGGCTCCTCATCATTGCAGACAGACAGCTGCAGGTCGGGGGATGTTCCTGGTCTTCTTGTGCCATGAGCCATGTTTCCTGAAAGCTCCAGGATCTCAGCAGTCTGTTGCTCGAGCACCACAACCACGTAGGCGGAGATGCATCCACTGTGCTTCCTTTACAACTCGTTTGGGATTTGGGGCTGTGTATGAAGTAAATTTGAGCACTGAGATGTTAATCAGATGCTCCCAGTTGTAAAAAACATCTTGTTGTCATGGTTGCACATCATAACAAATGTTCAAAAGTAAAAAGATTATAGTAAACATCCTTCCAGCTGCACAGCATCCAGTACCACAGGAAGTAATCATCCAAATAAAGCCATTTACATCCAGAAAAACGAGAAAATAAAGTTTCAAAAGCAATAACCCAGAATGAAAGTAACAGCTACTCCAACATGCAGCCACCTTGAGCGGCGCAATTCTAGAACATGCATGCATCAGGATGATGCATATATGAACTAATTGAATGAGGAATCTGTCTCTAAAATAGTTATTGTATCAAGTGTTTACATATTTAGGTAAATGTATATGTTATACCCGCTAAAATAGACCAGAATCAAATGCCACCTACTTTATTCCAAATGTTCCTATCACAGGAGGTGTCCGAACCCCAAGATCCACCCACCATTGCCTAACCCCCCCCCCCCCACACACACACACACACACACACACACACACACACACACATTGCAAATGCTTCTGATGCCAATGGGCATGAAAGAGGCACATGTCCAAGCAGCCGAAACAGGTCCTTGAAAGGTTTATCCAGGCCAAACAAAAATTTAAAATTGTTTTTGCTATTAGCAATATCGCTCTGCTATATTTGGTTTCTGTGGGGTTTTGGTTCTGTCTCTGTCTGTTTCCTCATGTTTCC